GCATTCCGTTTTCCCTCTTTCCTTCGCTACCCTATGCTCACCCTTGATGTGGGAACCTCTGGGGCAACCTCTTTTATGGTACTGATTCCTATTTTTCTTTATCTTTCTTTTTTTGACTAGTTCTACTAGAAACAAGGCAAGGAGAGACTTCACAGAGCACCACTTTGCCCCTTTCCACATAGTAAGTGGAGAACGGTTGAGGACTAATTCATGCGGTGTTAATATAACCCTAAGAGAATCCCCAGACAACACTAGAAGACGTGCTCAGTATAAATAGTTTATTAAAGAAAATAGCAAATTACATTTCTGTGAGCAATCCACATGGGAGAAGTGGTGTTTTTCAAAATATGCGGGTTTTTTGATTGCCATGTGTAAAGAGGCAGGGGATCCCATGAGATGCAAGTGCTACGGGAACACTCGCAGCCTTCAGGTAAATTACTTGGAAGGGAAGAAAAGAAAAGGCTGGAGTTTGAAGTGGCAGTCAGATTTTGCTTCGATACCTCCCTTCCTTGCTGCATTCCCATGTGCTGGGCTCAGTCTAACTGCCAATTTGCATCTGCCCTCTCCCTATGCCAGTTAAAGCCAGAAACAGAAGGGTCTCCCCACCGCCTGCCGTGGCTGTGCTTGGCTGCCATGGCCAGCAGAACAGCCCTTCAGTTCCGCAGTGACTTAGGTGCAATGTGAAAGCCAGCTGTGATTCTTCAGGCCCGGCACAAATGCTTGGAAATGTGCGAACAGAAGTCAGACAAAAGTGCAAATGAAAGGGGGTAGAACAGTAGATAACAGATGAAAACACTAAGCTCTGTGAACAAAACTTCTGTAAGCAGGCTGTAAGCACTACGCAGTAGGAAATGCTTTGTTCCATGTGTGCAGCAACTGGCGCATCTTGGCCTCTGGGTACGTTCTAATGAATGCTCTTGGTGAGTTTTTCAATTAAAAGAAATGTACGTTTCTCAGTCTCAAACATAGCCTTTTGTAATGCCATGAGTGCACCTTTCGTTCCCTTTTCACATTCATTTACACTTCTCTCACTATTCTTAAAGGACAGAAAATTAATACCAGAAAGATAACAGATGCCAGACCTACCTAGTTCACGCCCAACAAAAAAGGTAAAGGAAGGAGCTGAACTGGCTTGTGCAGTTGGCAAAGTGAGACTGAAAAATTCTAAGTCAGTTTTAAGATATTTTCCATGAGAAATAAAGCCATGAGGAATTTTGCCATTTGTGCAAAAACCTGTGACTTGATAAACAGTTCACTCAGAATAGGATCTCAGTCCTGCCCCTGAATTTTTACTCTCTTGAGGTCTGCTCTTCAGGGAAACCTGAGGTGGGAAAGAGCAAACTTTGGCACTTCAGCATTCTTGGAAGGATATCAAAAGCTTCCAAAGTCTGTGGGTTTCATACGTAATTTTGCAGGGACAGAAGAGGTAAGACACAAAGGGGCCACATGTCCCCTGATGTAAAACTGCATAGATTAAGATTCACTACTGAGAAATAAAACCCCTCTACAAGACCCTCGAGCAAGCGAGCTTGAGATGACATTATACAGCGCCTTGCATGAGGCCCATTTGACAGCAGTGCCTGTCCTCACGAAGAGATGTTGGATACAAGATTCGATTTATTTCCCTATGCTGGGCTTAACAGGAAGATGAAATCTTACAGAATGCACATTAGCAAACATCACGAAAAGCATCTCTTCTTCACCAGGACTCTACACCCACCAGCTCGTGAAGGAGAACTTCAATCTGGATAGAAACCTCTGGAGAGCATGGCAGGAGATAGGAATTTTCAAGCCCAAACTCTGTCTGCTTGGCAGACGGAGCATAAGCAGCTAGTGTCTGTGTGTTGCCCACCTTAGATTTTTTTTTCTGGTCCCAGACTCAGAGAGCCATCCTGTTTTGTCCTACGAACACTGAGCTAGGAAAAGTTTCTTTTCCCTCAGTCAAGCCTCCAGGAAGTACTTACCTAATTCTAAGCTTTTTTACTACCAGTACAAATAATAAGGGTCAAATCCAAAAAATATTTGAGAGACTCTGTTTGTTCTTGTGTTATCAGAAGATGCAATGTGTAGGAGTAAACAGAGTTACTTAATTTTGGCCAGTGCTGCTGCTCTCCTTTCTGTGTTCTGGAACAAGGCGCGGATCAGACTCTTCACTTCGGCTGCAGAAAATTCAGCTGCAAGAGGCCCCTTCCCATCCGCCCACCTACGTGGGAGAGAAAGATCTTTATTTAACCAAACTGCACAGAAACGTCATATTAAAACAAGCCTTCTGCGCACTCGCTAGAGTAGGAAGTCCAAAGGCAAAACAGATCCAGCTAGCAGCCCGGTGGCTGTATGCAACTTCAGTCCAGAACTGTTTAGCTAGGTATATAAAGCAACGGGTTGTGAGACTATTTCTGCACTCTTTACAAACTGCACCTTTTCCTCTTCCAAAGTAAGTCTAAAACCTGTCTGCAAAATTCCCATTCACCTCCCAAACAACAGGAGGAAAAAAAAAAGTGGTTTATGCCCAGGTGGAAGTAGAGTTGGGAACCTTTGGCGTGTAGCACAGTTCCAACAGCGGCAATGAGCAGGGCAGAGAAGAGGAAGTGCCCGCCCTATGTGCCTTCTCTGTGGCTGGTACCTTTTCAGGTCAGCCTGCTGAGGACGGTATGTTTTCTTGCCATTCGGATGTGTGAGGCAGCTGTGCAGAGGGAATGTCTAGCTTCTGATAATTCATGCCAACTAAAGTAATAGAAGCAATTATGCACGTGTAATTCAGATGGACCCCCCTTGCAAGCTAAAAGAAACAAGAAACAGCATCTAACAAGCAGAGGCCAATCGTGTGGAACCGCTGCAGCAGCAAGGCACCACTAACGTCAAAAGCAGCCCGCAAAATGCCAGACTGCGTCCTGTTGGAGAAGCCAAGGAGGATGCGCAATCGCTCTGTGGTTGGCTCTCCCATGGCCCTTGGTTTTTCACCGTTGCCTTTTCCTTTGCAGGGGGCAGCTGAATATATGAGCAAGCTTGAAATGGGCTATAAACACGAAGCCAAGAAACAGCCCCAGGAGCGCTTACGTGATCTTTTTTAACGGTGACCGCCTTTCATCTGAGCAGAGTCCCCCGAGTGCAGTGCCCTGCTGATGTCGGACCCCTTCCCCGCTCCCTGTTACTGAAGTGAAGAACTAACTGAAAAGGAACAAAAGGAAGACACCTACTGATCTACTATTTCTTGGAGATTGGCTTGCAGGATGATCATCAGCTCTTTGAACGTCATCCATTTCTGCACGTAGACCGGAACTTCCTCTTGGTATTTCTTATTTTTCTCGTCTTCGGGTAGCGGGGTAAAAACTTGGGGTCCTTCCTCCACCATGGTCCTACAGAGGGAGTACAACCTATCTGCATCCTCTGCAGAGATATCCTAGAATTGAACAAATGTGAACAGGGGAGCAGTTAGATATATTTATGGAGTGCCAAGCAGTAAGTGAAACAAAAAAAAAAGCCGTATGCGTGAAGCTGAAAGCAGCGGTTTAAGATCACGTTTAACGTTCTCGAGTTAATATAACTTATTTCATTAATAGCTATTTTGGCGAGTTCATGGAATCGTAGAATAGTGCCTCGGAAAAATGGCTGTGCTTCTGAAAAATGGCTGTGCTTCTGAACAGCGTATCTTAGCGCAATAGCAAGCGTTTCGCTGTGAAGCGTGCTACGATGAAGGTCTGAACGGTTTACAAGGAAATGGCTCAGGTATTGCCAGCCCAATGACAAAAACCAAGCTTTTTTGGCAGGCACACCCTGAGCAAGCATCCTGTAAACTAGCTGTTACAGGAAAAGAGGACGTATTGGCCTAATGCACAGTGGCTCTTTGGATGTAACTACAACTAGAACAGATGCACTAACATATGCCTATCATTTACTGTGAAAACATCTTTTAATTAAGAAACGTCACAGCATAGTTGTACTTGACCTAACGGAACCTGACAATCACTTAAAACACAGTGCCGGGAGTCGAATGGAGACTTAAGCAGGAAAGAATTTCAGTTTGGAATGCCACAGGTATTTTGGCACCTGGTGCCTAAATAGGATGGAGAGGTTCCATAGAGATGCGCAGATTGAAAGCCTTGGAGACAACAGTTAACTCCTGTACCCTGAACAAAGAAAGAGATCGATTGATAGAAATGTTTATAGTAGGAGTGACACACCTAAATCCAAATTAAGATGAAATCACAGCTGCTTCCCTGACTCTCCCCTTGACTACAGAGTCATGGTATCGCTGTAAGAGTATATATGGTCTCCAACTGGATGCAAGTTATCGGTATCTTGAACGCTTCTCATAGACAGGACCACAATTACAATTTCTGTGAAAGATGACTGTTCCCCTGAAACCTGATCTTGGAAGGAACTTCTAGAGGTCACGAACGCTAGCTGTTCACACCACCCTATAGCTGCCATGTCCATCTCATGCAGTTACCTCTAGGGCAGCAATCCTAGTGACAATCTCTGTGAGAGCTGTGTTCAGTAAAGTTCCCATAGCCTTGCAGTATACATTCACCGGAAGGACATCTTGCCAGACCTTTCCCAGCCTTTTCAACTGATGCAATACCTGGAAGAGAACAGCTACGCGTTATCTACGTCTTATCAAAAAGAATGTTGAGAGAGGCAGGCAGCAAATGATAACGTGACTACATATGGTCAGAAACGAGTTTGAAAGAAGCAAAAGGCAATAAGTATCCTGCTATGGCGTAGAGCAGACGTTCCTGGGAAAAAATGCAACGTTTTTGATGAGCCTTAACGCAAACTGAAGGTGTGACAGATCTCCTCCTTGAAAAATGAAAACCACTACAAATGTACTATATACAAAAGTTCAAGATGAAGAAGTTTTTCATTTCAACGTAGAGCAAGAGGAACGGAACTCGGCATGCTTCAATTTTACAAAAAGACACAGCCCCGGGGGAAAAAAAATCATGCCAGAAAATTGTTTTGAAAAGTTCCACTCTGCTGAAACACTGCACAGTTCTCAGGACTGAGATTACATCCTGTACTTGCCAAGGACAGCATCTACAGACAACAGGATATTTGGCTTTGAGTGGCTTGCTTACCTGCCTTATTGCTTTGTTTGCTGCACAGTAATTTTCCTCATCATCCATATTAGAAAAATTCCTGGCACTTGACAGCCTCTCCAGGATTTCTCCTTTCTGCACTCGCATCTGGGCCAGAAAACACTCCATCCCTTTAAGGAGCAAAAACAAGCAGAGAGAAGCGATTAAGCAATTATTAAATTTGCTTTGCCAATTTAGAGACTGTAAGTGCTGACTAATGAACTTGCTATAATGTTTTATTTTGAAAGGAATTTCCAGTCTCCGAACAGTCTCAAACTTAACCAGGCCCAGTCCCGTATTTGGTAAGCTCTTGCACAGCTTGTGTTGCTACAACACTTTTGAAAGAGACGAGTAGGAGAATTAACTATGGATGACAGGCTCCTGTTAGGCTCTCACAGGCTTATCCCAGAATTTTTTTCCATAAAATAAGCTAAAGAAAGTGTCAAAGGAATGAGCAGCAGATGCCAAAATATCAGTGCCACAACTTCTCTATGGATAATGAACTATTCTTGGAACTACGTGCCGGACAAGAAAAGTCGGGTTTCAAAGAGCCAAGCCCTAAAGAGCCATCTTTCTTAGTCATAAGCTCCGTCGCACTTCCCAATC